AATTTTACACATTCGGACGTCATGAAGGACATTCCCTTTCATACTATGGCCACCAAAACTGACCTTTAACTCCATTAAGGGGTTTTAGAGACCGCAGCATGACCAGCTGTTGTCTGATCGTAGTTTAACTGAACCTGCGCAAGCATCACCGACACTTACAGGGTGATATTGTGACAAATATTTTTTATAACCACAAAATTGCAAACAAAACTATATTATATAATATATCAAAATCATCTGTCGTAAATCTTAAACCTACCCTTAAATCTTATGCCTATTATTTATGCGCAAATTGTGTACCATATGGATAAACATTCAAGCCGCTGCTTCGCAGGTTAGCTCATAAAGACAAACACTTAAAGTAAAATATTTTACTAAAAAGATAAGACAATATTTAGCTTAGATAAAATTTATAAGACTATAATGAATCGTGTTAATAGTCTACATTCTCAAAATAAATCAAAACTCATATTACAAAAGTAGGTAGCAACTAAATTTGGGAAGCTAAAAATTTAAATTACGTGCTTAAAATTCAAAACTACATCCTGTCTAGACTTTATGCCTTGAGCCCCCAAAACATCTCACACGCCTACATCAGGTTTACTGTTGACTTCTAACTTAGCGGTAAGAGCATCCAGCTCTCAACGAAGCTCCACTTCCCTACAACCAAAACTCACCCTTCTTGTCATAGTTCAGACACGAAAACAACAATAATTTTCTGTTACAATACACCCTTAACAACGTTCAACACTAGAAAAATGTTTCTGGTGTCTAATGAGAGCACAGAAAGTATATATTATATATCTCACTCTCGCTATGTCATATGACAGGCTTACTCATCACCAAATTCTAATTCACTACTTATAAATATGTTTTTCAACTCCATTAGCCTGGCTAAACAGAGGGTTGTCCTGATGTGCAGTCGAGAAGGTAGACAGACAAGTCATCACAACAAAACACAAGGTACTTAATTCAAATGTCAAAAGACTGAGTGGCAACCAGACTAAAAATACACTTTTATGATAATCAAAATACGAACAAAATTACTGTCTCCTTACTGAAAAATTGTATGAGTAAACCACCAATCTCCCCCCTGACCAGCACAATGCCACCTCTTTCATAGTTGCGCCAGGCTTCATGGCAACTTATCTTATAACAACTAATTACGTTTCAGTGAACAACAAAAACACATTTAAATGAACCTACTACTTTATCAAAATAACAAAAGGATATTTGTTAAATGGAAGAGCTGTTAGTTGACCGAGTGAAAACTAATACAGGGGGCTAATACAGGGCAATAAGATCTGATGGTTTTAAAATGTAAATAACTCAATCGTTTTAAGAGATACAAAGTGTTTTATTGCATATTACAGATTGCTATTTATGAACATTTATAAAAATAACCAAAGAAATGTTTATGTAATCCGTTTAAGATTTGAAGATGACATCTTTCAAATGATGACCATCTTGGGCCATGCATTCTTCCAATCTTGCACTGAAATTGTCAAACACTTTCGCTAACATTGCAGGAGAAAGGTTGGCTATTTCTTGGCGTATGGCTTCCTTCAGGTCATCCAATGTGCGGGGTTTGTTTGTGTACACTCTTGATTTCAGCAGTCCCCACAAGAAAAAGTCACAAATGCTGAGATCCGGGGAGCGAGCTGGCCACGCAATGTCCCCAAAACGCGAGATAACTCGGCCACGAAACTTGCTTCTTAAGAAGTTCATTACCTCATCATGTGGGCAGTTGCCCCATCCTGCTGGAACCAAATTCTGCTGTGGTTTAAGCGTTTTCTGCGTAGTTCGGGGATAAGGAAGTTTTTCAACATAGTCAGGTATCGTTGTGAGTTGACTGTTACAGTTCGACCGTTTTCTTCAAAAAAGTATGGGCCTATAACACAATGTTTTGTTACGCCACACCACACAGTGACCTTGGGACTATGAAGGAGACGTTCATGCAGTTCTTCTGGATTTTTTTCCGACCAATAGCGGAAATTCTGTTTATTCACATATCCATCCAAATGAAAATGTGCTTCGTCGCTCATAATGAAAATTTTGTCATCTGTAAGCAAATCAATCATTTGCTCTGAAAATGCGTTGCTCTTTGCATAATCAGTGGGCTTCAACTATTGCACGATAGCCATTTTGTATGGATGAAAGAGCAGGTCGTACCGTAATATTCTTCTTACCGAGCGGTCAGACATGCGCAGAGCAGCAGCTTGTTTGCGTGCAGGCCGCCGAGGACTGGCTTCCACAGCTTCCCTTACTCTCTCGACGTTCTCTGGCGTCGGGGCTGACGTTGGACGGCCAGTTGATTTCTGTTTTAATACTGAACCGGTAGCTCTAAAGTTACCCACCCACAGCAAAATGGTGTTTCGAGTTGGAACTTTCCCTCTTGGACCCACATTAAAACGTCTGCGGAACTGCTCCATGGCTACTAAAATGTCCGCACGTAAGCTCTGGAACGCCGCTATCCCCACCAACCCCCACCACTCACTCGCTCGACAGCGCGGCAGCGAAAACCATCAGATCATTTTGCCGCTCCCTGTACATTAATTTGTTAAGAAGAGAATATTTGTATTTGTTTGATTAATTTGAAAACAAGAACTGTTTTTTAGACAATAGAAGCTAGGTACTTACCTTTCATTTTGTCAGAATTCTTGCATCTGACCCCACGCTGACACCAATGTATCAACCACACACTGGAAGGGCAGAAAGTCAATGATCGAATGCTGAGTAGAGAATTTAACAATTTTATTACTGCAAAAGAACAAAGTTACTTAATATGAGTTACTACTAACTACTACTGTCCATAAAAAACAAATTTTAACGGAGAAATGCCTACCGCGATGGACAGTCGCGGGAGAGGGAAGGATAGTGTGAAGACCGCGTCTTCTCGACTCTTCTAACCTGATTGACTAACTGTCCTCCAGGTTCGGTGGTCCTACACGTCACATGGAATGATGATACCTCGTGTCAGCAGAACAATTAGGCCACATTCCATGCCACAACCAAAACAACCGAACGTGATGTAGCAATCCAATACTTTGCGACACTCAACAAAACCCAAGTAAACTGCAAGATTATGCTGGCTAGCGGAGTTGCTACATGCTTCCACTGACCTATTACCAATACTTACTTACTTACTTACTGCTTTGGCCACTGGTACCCTAGATGGTGCTTGGCCTCCCCAACACACTGCCTCCATAGGTCTCTGCTTCTTGCATCTTCCTATTACCAATGCAACCGGCAATAACCAAAACTGGGTTTTGGGCTGGTATCCGTGATATTCCAAAAAAATATGGTTAATGACTGCCTGACCGTCACAGTATTTAACCACAACCTGTTGCTAGTAAAATAATATTTTGCATTTCGCAAATCTGTTTGCTTCATAAATTTTTAAATACTTCCAAACCTGGGAAACAATTATCAAGAATTTATCACAAATTAGTCAAAAAAAATTATGGTAGCCCTATTTCTACATTCTTGTAATAAACTTATCCACTTTCACTTATTATTTACAGAAAAAACAAGTTCAATTATTCACATCAACATATAAATTATTTAAGACTTCCAACAAAAACAAAGGCCCATTCTTCAAATTCAAAGAAATTTGACAGCCGACGGACGATGCTAAACTGCATTATACTTTTTCACCTTGCTCGAGAAAGAGAAAGAGAAAAATAAAATTAAGTACAAACCACCGAACAAAGCATACAAACTATAACAAATAAAAGCCCTTTTAGGTTTGATGAAGGAGGGCTTGGCTGTCTTGTCATGTAGCCATGTAGTTTCATCCATCAATAAATAAATGTTACGTTGAACTTGAAATTAAAAATAGTAGTCTTGCGCAATGTGCAGTATTGTCATTTGTCACAGATGGTGGTTACAGATTGAATGCAATATGATTTTTTGAAATCATGAATACCCCAACATTTAACCCTTGGGCATAAAAATATGAATCCAGCCACTGACTGGACTGGATTGATTTTACATTCAGCGCTATTTATGCTGCTTCTGTATTTCCATAGTTTGTACAAAACAAAGTCAAATAAAGAACTGTATGCATTAAATAAAATTATCTTGTAACTTGTAACTAGTATTAATGTTATTAAAAATCAACCTCAGATAAAGAAAGGATAGTTTTAAAGGATAGTGTTATAATTTTGTTGAGTTCAAATGAAACATTTATTTGATCCAGTCTTTATTAAGGTTGCCCTCTGGTTCTGTATTCTGCTTGGATATGGTGGAGCAATAGGTGTCGATGTTTGCACCACTCTATCAGCTCACGATAGTGACAAAACTTAACCAACTAACACTGAAATAATCATCCTGTAGCCTACTATTGATAATATTTTATGATAAATATGTCCTTTCAAATAGCCTTAAATGAAAAATAATCATCATGGTTGACAATTTGAATTTTGTAAATGAGTAAATAAAAATATAACCAACTAACTTGGTACCGAATGTATCAGTGCCGACATTTCACCATCGATTCTCGGTCCCAGTACTTTTCCTAAGAACCGGTGGAAGCGACATTTGATGTTAAGTACCGACACATCACTAGACAAAATGAATCATCGCATAGGGGTGGGAATCTGCTTGACTAGTAGTGAGCAAAGAAATTGACAAGTAGCTATTGTCAGATTTTAACTACCTGGCTTTGTGCTGACTGCAGCTCATTTGAGACCTTAATTTATAGACAGTGTTCATATAAGTGTTTTTAGATTCAGCAGTTCATTTTCCTTAAAGCCATAAAAGCATCCCGAGAAACTTATCACTTGTACTAAAGTTTAAAAAAATTGGCTAGTAGTAACACACCTAAACGTCAATATTATATATGTTTGGAAACTACCAAACCTCTTTGTGTTTGTTGAACTTGTTATGAAAAACTGTCTAGTTTTTGTGATGAAAAATATAAAATACCCTACTCCAGCATGTGTTGCATTAATGCATCATGACTACTTGGTGTAATCAATATATTTGTCTTTTTAAAGGTAACAATGGAATAAAGTGCAACGATCTTCTTCTTGAGCTTAAATCACAGAGAAATTCTAGCACACAAATCAACTTTGTGAATGAAAATAACACCTACTGTTCAACTTCATTGAACTACCAATGGTTCAATTCACTCATTATTGTACCATTCCATCAGATTGAAACTGTTGAAAAGGTATGAAAAAGTAGTAGACTATCTATTCTGGTGATGCTTCTCTGTTTTTTAATTTTTTATTTAGATGTGTTAAGATTAAAAACATTTTTGTTTACACTAATTCATTAAGGGAAGGAATGATTAATGAATACCCTCCCTATAAGGCTACAATTTTAGCGAATTTCCCTATAGGGAAATGTACGACAACATAGTTCATAGTTCATGGTTCATAGTTGTGAGCTTGGAAGTAGCTATTATCGTAGGTGGCACGGTAAGACCTAGACCCGGGACCGATTTACTTTTTCATTTTGATGTCCCCAGAGGCCAAAAACACTATTCGTTAAAATTTGTATATATGTATATATATAGATTTATATATATATATATGTATATACGTCCGTGAACGCGATAACTTGAGTAATTTTTGTCCGATTTTGATGAAATTTGGTTTAAAGGTGTAAAGCAGGATAAACTTGAATGAGTTCGCGAACCAGCATGATCGGACAATGGGAACGGGGCTTTCCGGGGGTTTTATGGGGTAAAAATTGGTTTTTCTCACTTTTGACCCTCAGAACACAAAATTTCCCAATTTCTCTTTAGTCCTTTTCAAAGAGCTCAAAAAAACAAATAATTTAGTATATAAAAGTTGTTACATATTAAATAAAAGATGTGTAAAATAAAATAGGTGTATTCTGAAATGAATCCTAAATAACAATGATTGTAAACAAAAACAAAGTTAACTTATTAAACATAACATATGGTATTTTACTAAACATACAGTATGTTAGAAAAGACACATCAATTTTCCCCCTTTAAAGTCTTGACCGCAGCATTTGATCTACATGTCGTCTGCATGTTACTCCGTTCTCCAGTTCAACGTTGTAATGTAGATTTCCATCTCTTGATGTAACTATTCCGAAACTCCATTTTGTCTGACCCTTGTAGTAGTTTCTCACTTGAACACGGTCTCCCACCTTAAATATGCGTGTTATACCTTTAGGTTTGTCTTTTGAGTCCTCGATTCTAGAAGGTATCATAACACTGAGGTATGTTCTTACTTGTCTGTTGAACATGAGATAGTATGCCGAGTTTCCTGTTGAGTTTGGTACTTGACGGAGTTGAATTAACACCTTGTGAATTTTACTGTCAAGTGTTCCAGGTTCATCTAATATCGACTTCAACATCTTCTTCACTGTTTGTACAAAGCGTTCAGCTTGTCCATTAGATGATGGGTGGAACGGAGCAGTCGTTTTGTGTTGAGTTCCACATGACTTAAGAAACTCTTGAAAAGTAAGAGAATTGAAACTTCGTCCATTGTCTGAAATTAGGAGGCTTGGAAGACCAAAAGTACTAAAAAGTTTCTTCAACTCCTTAATAGTCCAATCGGTAGTTGCTGTTTTTGTAGGTATTACCTCTACCCATTTGGAGAAGGCATCAACAACAATGAAAAATTGTTGTCCATTTGTTGGGCCCATGAAATCTATATGTATTCTCTCCCATGGCTGAGTTGCTGGTTCCCAAGGATGATTGATCTCTTTCGTTGGAGAATTTTGTTTCTCCTGACAAGGCTTGCAAACAGCAATCATGTTGTCAATGTCTTTATCCATTCCTCTCCAAAAGCAGTAACTTCTGGCCAAAGCTTTGGTTTTTACCATACCAATGTGCCCGTAGTGTAGTTCATTGAGAATTCTTTTCTTGAGGGAATTTGGGATGATTACTTTCCACCCTTTGAAGAGGCATCCTTCATGTAATGCAACTTCATTATCGTGAAATCCCAATGGCTCTAGTGATTGACCCTCCTCAAGAGCCTCCACAATTTGTTTTAGATATGTGTCCTTCATAGTTTCTTCGGCCAGTTCTTTGGGATTGATGGTTATGGTGTTCAATTGGTTTGTTTGGAAATGTCCAAACTGGTCGATACTTGTAAATTTTGAATCTTCCACAGGAAATCTTGAGAGGAAATCTGCATTGCCATGATCACCAGTTCTCTTGAATTCAGTTGTGTAGTTAAATCCTGATAAAAAATGGGAGTAGTTGAATAGTCGCGTAGCTGACATTGATGGTAGGCTCTTGTTGGGATTGAAGATTGACACTAATGGTTTATGGTCCGTGATGAGTGTAAAATGACGCCTGTAGCAATAAGAAAAAAATTTCTTCAACCCCCAGTATATACCTGTGGCTTCTTTATCGATTTGGCTGTAATGTTTTTCAGCATTGGTCAATGATCTTGAAGCAAAAGCTATAGGCTTTTCACTTCCATCTGGGAAACGATGTGATATCACTGCTCCAAGTCCCACTGGTGAAGCATCAGTTGCAAGGATCAATGGCAGGTCTGGGTTAAAGTGACAAAGAACTGTGTCACTTGTTATTCTTTTCTTGATGTTTTGAAAACCTTCTTCGCACTTACTGTCCCATATGAATGACTGCCCTTTTTTTAGAAGTCTATGTAAAGGATTTAAAACAGTGGACAGATTCTTTACAAACCGGTTGTAGTAATTAACAAGCCCTAGGGGAGCGAGCTGGCGTAGTGGTTAGAGCGCGGGACTTCAGTCCCTGAGGTCCCGGGTTCGATCCCCGCCAAGTCACCAATGGATTTTATCTAAGTGATAATGCCGCAACCCCTAGGTCTAGCCTGAAGTAATGTGAAAAACAATCCCAGGCTCGTGCCTAGCGTCCTTAGGACAAAAAAAAAAAAAAAAAAAAAAAATTAACAAGCCCTAGGAAAGATCGGAGTTCTTGGATGTTTTGAGGCCTTCGTGCATTTGTAATTGCTGTGATTTTATCCTTACTCTTGTGGATTCCAGTGGCGTCAATAATATGTCCTAAGTATTCAATTTTCTTTTGAAAAAATTTGCACTTGTCACGGTTCAACTTCAAATTTTGACTCCTTAAACGCTCAAACACTTGCTTTAGTCTTTCTAGTAGTTCTTTTGATGATGTTCCTTGAATTATTATATCGTCGAAGAAGCACTGAACACCTTGAAGGTCTTGAAGGATTCCGTCCATCACCTTTTGCCAAACCCCTGGAGCAACTTTTACACCAAACATCAGTCTGTTAACTGTGTATTGTCCTTTATGAGTGCTCAAAGTTTGAATTTCTGCACTCTCATCATCCATTTCCAAGTGGAGATAAGCATTACTTAAATCCAAAGTACAGAACAACTGTCCTCCATTCATTTGAGCAAAAATGTCTTCGATCCGAGGTATTGGATGATGTTCTTCTTTGATTTGTTTATTTACTGTAACCTTGTAATCAGCGCATATTCGTATGTTACCATTAGGCTTTACTACAGGTACAATTGGAGTACCCCAATCGGACTTGTCCGTTTTGGAAATGATTCCAGCTTCTTCCAGACGATTCAACTCGAGTTCTACTTTTTCAGTTAGTGCATATGGGACTGGACGAGCTTTCACAAAAATAGGTCTTGCCCCTTCAACAAGCTGTAAGTGTGCTTTTTTGTGAGGTATGAGTCCTACTCCTGGTTCAAATAATTCTTTGAATTCATCCAAAAGATCTTCGAGTGCAGTAGATGTAGTATTGCTACTAACTGTTTTAAGTTCTGCCCAATCCAGCTTGACCTCTCTAATCCATTCTCTTCCGAAAATTGCATCGAAATTTTGATTCACTATGTAGAGTTTACCAACAAACACCTGATCATTGTAAGTGCATTCTACAAAGACGACACCCCGGGGTTTAATTATTTCGCTTGAGTATGTCCTTAGTTCTATGTTTGTGTGGAAAATCTTTTTATTTATGTTGAGACTTTTAAAGGTAGAGTATGGTAGAATACTTATTGCTGCTCCAGTATCTAACTCCATCCGCACAGGTAACCATAAACTTGTCATTACCGGCACTCTGGTTGTGTATCTTAAAAACCTCTTGTTTCTCTTCCTTATAATAGTCTATAGTATTGTCAGTTTCGGTACAATGAATTTCTGTTTGTTTTGTGCCTAAACATACGCTAGCAATATGCCCTTGTTTGTTGCATTTCTTACATATTTCTCCGATAAATTTACACTGATGTGCCCTGTGTCTAGGTGATCCACAACGATAGCATTTACCTTTGAGGCGTTCAAATGGAGACTTTAACTTTTTGTTCCAAGTAGGAGAAAAATGGGGTGGTTTTGTTTCTGTACCGGTACCTGCTATCTTGTTTATTTTCTCATTTGAATGCATGTTTTCTTCTACTATATGGCTTTCGTTCTTTGCCAATTCCATGATGGAGGCAAGTTTCACTACATCTTGAAACGATGAAGCAGATCTTTCTTGTAATAATTTTGTTCGTATGTCTGAATTGCTAATACCTCTTATAAACTGCATGCGTAGTAATGTGTTTGCAATTTATTTCCCACAATTATTACAGTTGAAGTCACAGTCTGAAGATAACTTTTGAAGCTCAACGGAATATATTTTTACGGTTTCTTCAGATTCTTGTTTTCTTGTCATAAATTTGTGTTGTAAGGCCCAAGTACTAGGTTTAGGGTCAACATAATCAGCCAAAAGACTTACTAATTCAGCATATGTTTTATTCAAAGGACTTTCAGGAGCGCACAAATCATACAGCTTCTGATGTAAATGTGGCGTTAAGGCATGTAGCATTGTATACAATCTACACACATGATCCTTTGGTTCCAATTCTTGGCTATGTAGATTAAGGAACGCGGCAGCGTTCCGCCCCGCCAAGTCCCCCAGCGGTACACAGCTGCTGCAGTGTATATATACATGACGTGACAAAGTGGCTTTTTTACTCGTCTATAGCTCTGAAGAAACAAAAGCTATCAAAATAGTTATTCGTCTAATGGATAGGGGCACTCATTCTCAACAAAATAAAATAAAAGAATTTAAAAAACGGTTGTGTTTGAGCCAAGAAAAACTAGTTTGAAAATTCACAAATTTTCCGTGTTCTCCTTCTTCTCCTTAAATGTTGACGGACCTACAGCCCAAACCACTGGCTCAATTTTAATGTTTTTTATGTTGTTTGAAAGCCCTTAACGTGTAGATGTGCCTTTTGAGGGTCTCA